TATGTTGTTGTTGACTTATGTTTGAAATTTCACTTTAAATTATTCTCCTTTGGGGACGTTCTGGTTGATTCATAAAAGACAAAAACATCTCACTTTAATGGACCGTTTACTCTGAACATCTTTTGTTTGTGCTGGAGTTATCCATGTCAATTGTTCTGGTCTTGGTACCTGTAATTTAGCAATCCACCCTTGGTTAAGCTGAGTTGTCTGCAGATCTTTTGATTGGCAGTTCAGCAGAAAGTTCCTATAACAGTGGCGGTGGTGACAAGGTTTGGGGATGTTTTGGATGTTAACAACACTACAGCTGATTTCTCTGTGAAGTTTGGATGTTCTCCTCCGTTCTTGTGGGGATTTTTTCAAATAAGCCCGTTTAACTCGGCCTATCACGGCTCAGGATTCCTAATTTAAATAATTTCACTTCCTGATTAAATAAAAATGTAGTTTACATCCCTGAGACAAATCTCAAATCAGCGTAAAAATGTAGCGCCAACAACGTGATTTCCTCTTATATCAGAAAACAGATACGCGAGGGTTGAGTCAAGAACGCCACAGATGAAAAGGTTACTGCAGGGGCCTCGGTTTGAGTCTGCTCTTCCTGTTCGCTCTCTCTTTGCTTCCCTGCGTGCTCTACTCTCCTGTCAATAAATGTCAAAAGAAACACTGAATGATCGTAGCTTGAAATCAACATATTATTATTTCTACACATTATTTTATGAACTAAATACTGGAGAAATCTTAAGATGCGGCTTGTAAGTGTGAATGTGGGCTATACGGCACAAAGGAGGAAAAACAAATCCTGTGGGGCAGAATAATGAGCTAAATGAACTGTTGTGTCAAAGATCAGCTCTATAAATTCTCTATAGGCTCCTCTTGTTCAGGGTGTATCTGTTTATTTCATCATTTCTATTCGTGTTATTTCTATTATATTTACATTAAATGTGGTATACAGTATGACGATGTTTAAAGGAGGACAGGCAAGAGAAAAAAGTGTGTGTGTGTGTGAGAGGGTGAAAGAGAGAGAGTGTGTGTCTCTGTGATGAAATGCACTTAAAAATGAGGGTGGGAAGTCGTAATAACAGCCCCTAAGGAGTCAGAGAAAGACAGAGATGGATCTGGGAGAACCGGGCCATTGGCAGCCACCAAGAATACTGAAGACCCAAGGCCACACATCCTGGTGAAATCTGCACGCCCATCCCAGCAGGAGAAGGAGTGAGGCCTTAAGTGGGGCGCCCACGGCTAAGGTGTGGGACTCCCAAAGGACTGGAAGGGCAGTCGAAGCCGCGAGAGGCCGGTGTGAGCAGAGATCAGGGTCCCAGGCCCCCAAGAACCACCCAGTACCTGCCTGAATCTTACCACATCTTTAGCCAATGATTTGAGAGCGTGCCGTTGTAGCAGCTGAGCTAGACGCCATCTTTAACATGTAGTCTTTGCTGTTGTGGGTGAAAAAAAACAAGCACTGCTTGAGAAAACCGAAGGTTTAGTAAGGATCGGGTCTGGTTACACCTGGAAAGCGAAGATATAAAGTTTATGAAAACAAAACAAATGCAAAGCTCCCAAAAAACACAAACCACCATTCCTCGGCTTACAAAACGTGACACAGATTTTTAAACCTCAGGGAAAAAAAGTTACTGCTCAGTGTTCAGGATTTCTGTAGATACGATACGACATATACG